ATAATCACACTAATTATTGCATTAAATTTACATATACATTGTTGCAATCTGTTATTTTAGTATTATTTATTTTTGTAGTTTTTATTAATATTTTTAATTAGCTTTTATTTTTATAATTCTATTTTCATTTTAATTTTTAGTAATGTTGTTATTAGTTTTTTTTACCTTTCTAAATAGTTATATTAATAGGTTTCTAATAGTTTTATTTCGGTTTTAGTTTTTAGTAATTTTATTATTTAGTAAACTTATTTCTTATTTTATTTATTTTTAAAAATAAATGTATTTGAACATTTTCCCAACATTGTTTTAACCCTTTCAAATTAAATGGGCTGTTTTTTTGCTCACGTAACTATGCTTACTCAGGGGTGGCAAGTTTGCTTTCAGGTCAAATCTAGTTTATGCAGCACCATCTTTCAAAACAGCCTCTTGCAAAGCCTGTAATACATTGCGACAAGTTCACAAAATAATCTGCACACAAGCTGTTAAGGTCTGACTGACGTGATCAGGGATCAGTCACTCTTCCCTATAGATATGCAGTGCTGCATGTGATACCCCACAAACAGTTTTTTGGCTTAACAGTTTATAGCAGTTATTTTTACAGATACTTTTTACATATTTCATTTTCAATCTCTCTACAACCAACCCAGAACAAATTGACTTAGAAGAAACTAATTAAAAAGTTATAATCATTAAACAAGTAGTAATATAATATAATAACAATGAATGTAAAATAAAATAATTAATCTAAAATTTTACATTTAGATGGAATGGGAAACTAAATCGGTTTGTTTACATGGTTCAATAAACTCTTGTAGCAAAATATCAAGGTAAAATTCACATAACATGATCCCATTGACTGTTTTTAAATACATTTTGATTTGGCAAAACCACTTGTGTAATCTTTGATCACCGCTCACAGACACGCTTGCACGTACAGGACCTCAGCAGGCCATATTGAGCGATGTGCTCCACATACAGAGCAGTGTGATTTGCTCTGGGGTTAACTATGCTGTGTAACTGCTCTCTCAGTAAAAACACAAGTAGATCTTGTCCTCCTTTCCAGTGACCCAGAAATCAATAGAACACAGCGGCATGAGATTCTCATTCTGCCAGGTGGCTTCGAGAATATAAGTGTGTGTGTGTGTGCTTTTCATTCTTCTGTGTCCTCTTATGCTGATCTTTTAAGGTCTAATCTTTCATATCAGTTTGAAAAGGTCGAACCATTGATGCTAAAAAAGTATGTATGTGGGTATACATGCTCCCACTCTAAAACAAATATACTGTTTGGTTGCTCATGTGATGCAGGTACATTATGAATGAGATTTGTCTAGCTACTTGATTATCCTCTTATATTATTAATGAATTCTGGTGCTTCGCTTTGGCTTCCACCCCCCTCGATCTCCCTAGACTCTTTCTTTCTCTCTCTTTGTTTCTCACTGTTATGGCCACAGCGAGGTTTGTATGAGCTCTCTTTGTGTGTGTGTGTACAGAAACGGGAGAAGGTCAGAACACTAAATAGATCATACTGGGTTAGTTTTCACCTAGGGATATGCACAAGTAATTGTGCTTGACTTAACTGTTGAACGGGTTGTGTCATATACTATATGTTGCCAATGTTATGGAAAAACCATTGCATTATACATGGATGTAGAATTTCTCTGTCAAGTATTATTTGTTATTATTTTTTATTATTTATTGTTCTTTCTTTTAATTATTCATTATTTGACGTATTTAGGAAAAACATCCTCAAACACTTTTTGAACACTTTGATGTTCACCTCAAAGTTGTGGATATAAATGATTTATTTGCCAAGGCTTCATTTATTTTATTAAAATTGCAGAAACAATAATATTGTGATTTTTTTTTTTTTTTTAACAATTTAAAATGACTGTTTTTTAAATATATTTTGAAATGGCAAAACATATATTTTAAAATGGTAATTTGCAGCAGTCATTACTTCAGACTTCAGTTGTACATGATCCTTCAAAAATCATTCTACTGATTTAGTGTCTTTGAAACATTTCTTATTATTGTCAATGTTGGAATACACTTGTGCTGCTTAATATTTTTGTGGAAACCGCAGGGCCAGCGCTACCTATAGGCAGAGCAGGCAATTGCCTAGGACAGGAGTGTCAAAACCAATTCCTGTGTTGGAGCAGGGTTGGAACAAAACTCGAAAACATCCTTCAGGTGCTGCGAAGCAAAAGGCTAAATAGCTCCTAATGCAGGTGTGTGAGTTGACGCCATCTATTTTGGAGTGATTGCAGTGTATTGTAAATATAAACTTGTTCTGTCAATCAGTGTCATTTCTGCACGGATCATTTACTGGTTTATTACGAGTTTAAAAGAGCGCGAGCACTGTTGACGTGCCCAGACGCGATACTTTGAATTTGCATTTACAATGAATGACATTGCGTTGAGAGCTGACTAGCAAAATAGCTACAAAAGTAAAAGCAAAGAAGTTTGTATTCAAACTCAAGAAGCAAACACACTCGAACATGTTTTAATGTTTCAAAAAAAGGACCTCATGTGTGTATCTTCTAAATTCTGCTGATGATTATATTACTGCTCTAACATAACACTTAATTTCAGTTTCAACTAACTAGAAATTAACTTCTATTCTGCTTATAGTGATCATCTCTTTCACTTCCACTTGATTTTTGTATGTAGTGCATATTTAAGGTAACATTGCAGTACATATCGTCATATTATTAATATTAATATTATGACAATATCTGTAGTCAGTATTGATTAAATGGGAGGGAGAAATCCTGCCCACACCCAGCTAGGAAAAAATGATAAAAGCACTGATGTTCATTTACTGAAGTGGTATTGAGGAACTGTGAAAAAATTGCTGAACAAATTACTGCAAAATAGTAGTAATAATAATAATTTCATGACTATAATAGCATCCTCAACAAACAAAAAAGAGATTACCTTAGATAAAGTTTGATTAATATGTATACAGTACGGGTCCAAACAAAAGTTTGAACACATTACTATTTTTATTGTTTTTGAAAGAAGTCTCATGCTCATCAAGCCTGCATTTTTTTTTTTATCAGAAATACAGAAAAACAGTAATATTCAGCAATGATGTGCTAAAATTGATCAGAAATCATGTGACACTGAAGACTGGAGTAATTCACAGAAATGGATTATATTTTAAAGAATAGTAAAATATAAAACAATTTTTTAAAATTGTTATAATATTTCTTTTTTTTTTCCAGTTTTTTGAACAAATAAATCCAGACTTTGAAGAGCATAAGAGACTTCTTTTTAAAAACATAAAAAATATTATGTGTCCAAACTTTTGATCGGTACGGTATAAGTAAAAATATACAAAATTTAAAATGAAATGTTGTGCAAATAAAAAGGTTAGGAATCATATTTGTTTCAATTGCGGGTGGGGGGCCCTCAACATGAACTTTGCTTGTTCATGTATCCATGGAAACCATGATACATTTTTTTCAGGATTCTTTGCTAAATAGAACATTCAGAAGAACAGCATTTATTTGAAATAGAATCATGTCACTTTTAATCACTTTAATGAATCCTTGCTGAATAAAAGTATTAATTTCTTTAAAAAAAAATCTTACTGACCTCAGACTTTTGAACAATAGTGTAAATGTAAAAAACAGTGTTCTGTGTTAAAGACCATTGTATTAATCTGCCCAATCTAATGCAAAATGCCTGAATGGTGAATTGGGCTTCGATGTTAATGTTAAAATGTAAAGAGATCTTTTGGTTGTTTGTTTTAATCAGATAAAAAAAAGTCCATAAATGAGGAGGGTTTTCTAGTGGGATATCATCCCGAGTGTGTTTCACAGGCCCCCTTTATTTCACTTTAGTTTGTTTTGTCTTTGTTTTCCTTCATTGATTGGTACAGTATATGGCGCATACCAGGAACTGTCTCTATTCAGATGCCTCATCATGCCTTGTCTGACCCCAAGTTCAACTTAGACAAATACCTGGATACAGCAGACATTGTCAGTGTTTGTCTTGTCTGATTTAAATACTTGAGGCTGCGGTTTCCGGATCCTAATCAGGGCACAGCTTCTAGTGGCTGTTTTGAGTGGTTTTCAAGATGGTAGATGTAAAGAGATACTTCCATGGCTTTCATAATATAAAAAATCATAGTTTAATGTTTCTGCCTTGCTTTTTTATGTACACTGTTCCCAAAAACTGTATAAAAAAAGGGCAGAGCAAAAATATTCAGTTGTAATGGAAAATAGATATAACACACTGTTCTCTTGTGCCATAGTGGTCCATTTTTCAGAACTTTGTACTATATATACAGTAGTACTATATACAGTATATATGTACTATAGCAGTTCACCTTCTGTTAGCAACATAATGTTCTTTGTTGGTCATGGGGCATTTTATTTGGTGATTAGATATGACAAAAAAAGTCCCTTTTTTTGTGATGAGAACTGAAGCACTGTGTCCCATTGTATTAATGTCTAGGTGGGTACTAGGCTGTATTTTTATTACTGATAAGTTACCAGCTCTTATATAACCTGTGTTCTCTCTAAAAAGGATAGCATGTAAAAATCTTTACTTTGATCTAGGTCTATTGAAGATAGCTCAGAATGTGTTTCCTTTATAATTCATAATGGTACCTACCAGCACCTTTTGTTTTAAGCAGGAGTATAGTAACCATTATAGGACCTTAAGAAATTGCCTTTCACTTTACATTCAAGAGTTTCGTTTTGCTTGGCTGCAGTGCAAAGAAAGAATACAGGGCAGAAGCTTCTGCAAACCAGTGAATGTACTGTACAATCAGTAGACTATAATCCCAATATAGCTAGAGGCGTAATTAATATTCATGAGTTAGGCCGGTAAGGTATATACTGTAATACCCTCTCAAAGTACACACTTTTTATATTGAATCTGTATCAAACTATACGAAAAGTTAATGACACTTAGCAGTATACGAGTTGGTAATGATGATTGGGCTTTTGTATATGGAGCTTGGTGTCAGTACGTCTGCTCTCTTGCAGGAGCTGGCAGATTTGCGGCATGTCCACTCCAAGGTTAAAAAACAGTACCAGGAGAAGATGGCTGAGCTGGCACATGCTAACCGGCGTGTGGAGCAGCATGAGACAGAAGTTAAGAAGCTCCGACTGAGGGTGGAGGAACTAAAGAAAGAGCTGGGCCAGGCTGAAGATGAGGTGAACCGAAGCATTCACTCTAAATTATATTAATTATTGCTTCAAGTGTGTTCTGAGGTTTTCTTTGTTTTGGCCATAGTTCATAATTTGATTCACTTTACTAAATGTGCATGGGCCCCATCATCAAATTATATTATATTATATTATATAGATTTTTTTTTTTTAATTAACAAATTGATTCGGTTTAAAATGTTCAAAATTAAATAGATATAAAATAACCATTGAAAATTATAGCAAACAGTTATTTGATTTGATTATTTGATAATTTTCCACCCATTCTTCCTGTCCGTTTTGACTGTCAGAAGTTATTTTTTAATTTTTTGATCATCAGCTAGGTGACATTGCATTAGTGACTTATTTAAATGAGCAGTATTCTCCGCAACAATTCTCAATAAATCACAGAAAACCAAATCTTTAAGTTTGCTAGACATATACGCACATGATTAATAAATGTAAGCTATAGTGAGGACACATTAAGACATTTTGATCCCCAAACTATGTATTATGCATTTGTTTTAGTTGGATGAGGCTCATAATCAGACCAGAAAGCTACAGAGGTCCTTGGATGAGCAGGTGGAGCAGACAGAGAACCTACAAGTTCAGCTGGAGCACCTACAATCCAGGTAACCAGATAAATATATGCACACGCACTGACTCGGCAGTCTCTCTATAATCTGTGCGATACGTTTGAGAATATTGTGTTCAGTTCAGATGTCTTTTGATCAGTAATGAATACAGGATAAGCTTCTGTTACCCAACATCATGAATAAGATGGCAGGTTTATAGTGTAAACTGTCATCGATTCCCTCGGCTTATTCTCTCTTTCAGTCTCACTCTCTCATTATTCTGCCTGCATTCAGGCTTGCACCTACCCGCAGCCAATCCCAGGCTGCCTGGCTGTGGGTTACCGTAGTAACAGGGAGACTTGAAGCAGTGTTGTGGGCTCAGGCCCCCCGCAGCTGGAGAGAACAGTGACAGGCATGGCGGTGTTTAGAGGGACTTTGTTGGAAAGCTTCTAATGATTAAGACATTCACACGGCATAATTCCTCCACTTCACACCTGTGCGGATACATATGATTAAATTATGAGATTGTCATGAAGACATAAGTCATTTATCTAAAATATGCAGCCTTACAGATTTTTTGTTCTTAACATTGGATTTGTGCAAAGTTATCTTTCCTTTATGGGTATAGGAAGAGATGTCAGTTGGATTCAGTCCAGACTGTTGAGAAAAAAATGGCTGACTTTGTGACATAAAATATAATTGTAATGTAAAGGAGAGGTGCTTGCCTGTGCATGATATTCAGGTGTTAGGGGTGGTTGTTAGAGCATTGCTAAGTGGTTGCTAGGGCATTCTATGTGGTCGCTTACTGGTCCGTGTTAAAAGAGCTCACCCCCATGTCTCAGTGATGTTCTTGTCCTTATATATGAGTGTCCTTTTGTCATTTGTTTTTTTTTTAAATGTATTGTTTATTTTATCGTTGTTCACTGACGAGCTGCGGCAAAAATCGCGCGAATATGAACGTGGTTTTGCGCAGCTCGTCAGTGAACAACAGCTCTGTGTAGTTAATGCTGCTCAATGTGAAAGCCCGCAGGTGATGGAGATTTACCGCTGATTACAGAACCGGCTTAACTCATAAGATGCGCGTTAAATATCGCATGCGATTTATCGTGCAGCCCTAATTTTTGTCTATAGTTGGGAATTTAGTGAATCCTGTTCCTAAACGGTTCAATTAACAATTTTGTACTTTTAAGGAATAAGTATTTTTCTAAAAAAAACGGGGGGAAAAAAAGAAAGAAAAAAACAGTTGCACTTTCATTGCTAAATGATGGAATAGAAAATATGCTTATGTAGGCTTTTTAATTCTAATTTAATGTTTACATATTCTTTTTACTTTTTAGAAGCATCATAAATGTGTCAATAATTAGATTTAACTGTATAATATATAATAAATATTCATAAAATACTGTGTGTGTGTGTTTGTCTAAATATCTGTGTGTCTGTCTGTCTGTATATATGATAGTAATATTTTAGTACAGTACACTGTCAGCAGTGGCAGAAGAATGCATGTGCAAGAACTGTTAATGGAACCAAATTCAAAAAGCATTCAAGTTTAAGTCCCAAAATTTTTTTTAAAAGCCTTTATTATATCATGGCTTGAAATATTAAAAACAAGTACAAATAACACAGACAAACACGCTTATTTTTTTTTTTTTCAATTAGTTATCCAAAGAACACCAAGAGATATGGGCATTTTAATAAGTAGCACTCTCTGCATTATTGCCGTTGTTTAGAGTATTCTTTAAATTATTTTCTCAAAAATGTCCTCAGTTCCCAACCATATTCATGTCCATAGCTCAAATGCTGTGGGATGTTACAATCTTAAGTTTAATACTTAAGCTTAGAGATTTGAACAGACCCCTAACCCCAAGTATGAGCATTAACAATTCTATTCAGATTCTGTTTGCTCAAAAACTTGAACCACTCTGTTGGGAGAAAAGGTTGCTTACTATGCTGTCAGCAAGTGCCATGCATCACAGTGAAAGTGAAGAGTTGAAGAAAGGATGCGAGAACAATCAGACCGCCCCTCTGAGAGGTGGGCCAGGGTTCAGCGCTATAGCAGCGATTGGGTGGATAGGGCGACAGATGGAGCTGAGCGCTTGTCCAAGTTGTCATGGAGACAGAGGATGGTCTAGAGGCTGATTTGGAGTAAGTGTTGTCAAGGTGACAGGAGAAGGCTGGAAATGACAGTATTAAGGAACTGACAGCACTTCAGTCGTTGTGTTGACTTAGAGTTCATACCCATATCTGATGCCACAGGAAGTTCAGAGTGGCGTCTTTTCCCAGCTGGCTCTGACTCTGCCCAATTTATGCCCTGGAGCCAGAATACCAAGAACAACAATATCTGCTGTGGACACAGTGGACATGGAGAAGAGGATCAGATCTCATGATTGAGGTTGGCTCCTCTAACAGGGTGAACTCGCCCGGCGTCCCACTCGCAGCGGCTGTGTTTGCCTGTTAGTCTCGCAGCATGAGACAGCAGCTCTGCTCAGCCCACCGGCAGCACCATTTGGCACCCCCACCGTGCCTATTTGCTTCTTTCTTCATTGGAAAGCTGTGAACTCACAGTCTCTCATCTCTATTTCACCCTTAGTGGCTTGTTGTTGTTCTCTTGTTGTTGTCATCCCTGTTCTAATTCTCTTTTTTATTTATGTCTGTCTCTTCCTCTCTCATTCAGTTTCTACAGAGAGTAGATGGTAATGACTGTATGTGCTTCAGTCTATAATCATATAATTAGGGATGCCCCGATACCACTTTTTCCAGTACTCACCCGATACCGATACTTTTATTTTTGGTACTTGCCGATACCGAGTACCGATACCAATATTTTTATTGCATTTGTACATTTTTAAAATATTGGGTAAAGAAACCAAAAGAGTATGTATAATGTTAGTTGGTTAACTTTATTTATCAAATAGATACAGTAAAACCAACATTTATTCAGACACCTTCAACATTTCTCACATTATCACAGTTTATTCGCTATAGTTTAGAAAATGGTAATAAAATATAACAAGAACTCAGAGTTAAACGGAGTCAGAACAAATTAATCTTGATAATGTTAGATAACTTTGATAGAAAGGTAT